TATAACCTGCGTTTGTGTCTCTTATAAAATGTATTTGCAATGAATAAGTCATTGATTTTACAAAATTCAATCATTCTAACTCCAGCTTCATTCCTGTCACCAAGCCCGTGTTTTCCGACTACTGATTCTTCTTCTAGAACCATCTATAACTGAGGTGAGGGATCCTGAAGAGCTTATTTCTATCTTCAATTATTGCATCTTTCTCTTTTGTCTCCGTAAGTGGAATACAATCTTTTCTGAAACAATGGCACACTGGATTATGTGTTGTGTTGCTAATGGGAAGGTCAACAGTTCAAATGCATCATTTGCTTCCCAACACAAAGTGGGACAGTCTCCTCCAGCAAAGGTTTATAGCCTCCTAAACTAGAGAGGGTTAAACCAGGCTACTCCTTGGAGGCAAGGATTCTGGGGCTTCGTCTGACATACTTTGTACACGTTGTAAGGAGAGACAGGTCCTCGGAGAGGGACATCATGCTGGGTAGAGTAGAGGGACAGCACAGGAGGGGAAGACCCTTTATGAGGTGGTTTGATTCAGTGACTGGGGTAATCAGGATGAGTGTGTCAGAGGCAATGCGATTGGCACAGGATAGAGCAGGGTTTAGGGCTGTTGTACATGGGGTCGCTATGAGTCGCAAACTACTCGACAGCACATAACAAAAACAACAACAAACGTGATGGAGGGCTGAAATAAGTCAGAATCAACTCAGTGACACTTTGGCTTGTTTAATACACAGAGAAGAGAGTCCAGGTAGCACAGTAATTAAACCTGGAAAGGTCAGTGGTTCAAATCTACCAACTGCTCTTCATTAAGAAAGATGTGTCAGTTTGTTTCTGTAAAGATTTCCAGTCTTGGCAACTCTGTGGGGCAGTTTTAGTCTGTCTTTATGGGTCTACTAGAAGTCAGAATCAACTTGAACAGCAGCAAATCTTTTTGAGAACTCATTGCTGTTGTCAAGTTGGAAACTACTCATAGCTGACCCTCCAGTGGGATTTCAGAGGTTGTAAATCACATGGGAGGAGACTGCTCATCTTTTTCTCTTAGAACAGACTTGAACTGTTCACCTTTGGGTTGGCAGTGTAACTACCTAAACACTAGGCCACCAGAGCTCTTTAAAGATATAGTCTGTAGGGAGTTATGCTGCTTAATGAAAAGACTGTGGTGAACCTACCAGTGAGTCTGAAAGAGAAAGATGGATGCTGTCCTCCTCCTGTTATGATTTACAATCACAGAAGAGGGTCACTCTTAGTTGGAACCAATTCAATGGTGGTGAGTTTGAGTTTTGACTAGAACATCTGAGTTTACCAGTACTTAACAGCACTCAGAAATGGGGTGTCAGGGAAGTCACGGGCGGTGCTTTCTGATTGCTTTTTAAATTTAGGTGTATATTTATGTGGTGAGAACTTGTGTTTGGATCAGACAAGAACACTTTCTGCTGTTTTTCAATTTTGAATGAATTTCGAAAGTGTCTGAAGTGGGTCGGAAGAGAGTGGACATGTGGGCGAAGGTGTTGGATTTTGAAGCCAGTATCAAGTCAAAGTAAACCAATAGAGTCCATGTTGAGCCTCCACCCAGACTTTTGTGTGCAACAACTGAGTCATAGAGAAGTTGCGAGAAGGAGAGGGGGCAGAGAAACTCAGACCTAAGAGCTGTGTGGGATCGATCACCCATGCAAGCTCATGGAATCTTGAACCTGTCACAGATTCAGACCAAAAGATAACTTAGCATCACCCCTGGGTCTCTGAGTTTACATGTGTGGCCTGAGGAACCCATAACTTACCATTTCCAAAGCTGTCGGCTTCAAAATCAAAGGCTTGAAGTTGGACATTTGTCGTCTTCAGTTGAAGGTGGGCCGACAGCTTGATGCTCTGCTCACTCACACACTTGAAGGAATGCCCAACCATCGTCTCAAACAACACCAGAGAACTTTTCCTTCCTTGGTAAGTTCTCTCTGAAAATGAAAAGGTGAAATGCTGACACGTCAGAATCCTGGAGTATATCTATGGCTCCAGCTGTTGCTGGGCTGCTCAAGTGGGGTTAAATGAGCTTCCTTCAGACTCCACTCTCTGGGATCCTGCCATCTTCTCCTCATGAAAAACCACCCTGGTGCTGTAGGGGAGGAGGACTTTCCAGTGCTCTGCTTGGCATACACACGAGGGCTCAGGCGTGTTAAGTATCGTGGAGTCAGAATCGACCCATAGCTAAGCCTCCAGTGGGTTTCCAGACGCAGTGAATCGCATGGGAGGAGATTGCCCATCCCTCTCCCATGGAGCAGCTGGTGGATTTGAACTGTATGCCTTTGGGACTGTCCCACAGCTTCCCATTTCAATGTGGTCATGTTCCAGTTTACCTAAGACTTGCTTTACAAGGGAAAATCCTATACAGGGGAAGTCCTAGGTAATTGGAACATAACAACAATGACATGGGGAATTTGGAGACTGTTTCCTGTAGTTGTTTTAGATCATTGGGAACAGTGGTGGTGGGAAACTGTCGGTTATTTGGGCGCTAAGGGCCCACAAAAACTTTGGAAATGAGAAGTGAGATTGTTCTCTGAGCTTACATTAACGTGAATCCTAAATGAAACTCAGCTCAATGCCTTTGAGTAAAAACTGACTCATAGCAGACCCTCCAGCATGATTTTGGAGGCTGTAAGCCTCATCTCTTTCCTCTGTAGAGATGCTGAATTCAAACTGCTGGAGAGGCTTGGCCTTTGCGTCAGCAGTGCAACGTCCTATCGACTTCAACACCAGACCTCCCTGAATGAAGCCCTGAACTCTTATTGAGTCGATGCAAAAGTCATGGATGGGACACTTGCACATTGCTAGACTCAAAGTGTTCATGCAGCACAAGGAAGAACTAAGCCTATCAATAAACGAGGTGGACGTGTCCTTACATGGAAACGCAGTGAAGGGATAGGCCCATCTCTGTCCATCTGAGTATGTCCAGGGCTGGAGGACCGGGGACTGGCCCTATCTTATGACAGATGCACCCTTTTCAGGAAATGGAACGTCAAAAAGGATAGAGGTTAAATATTTTATCATTAACTCCATTAACTTTAATCTCATGCCCATCAAACACATTTATTGTTTTTTATAGGATTATTAGCTCTAATCCCATGCCCATTAAGCATGCTTCTGATTAGAATTTGGCTTCTAAAGGGGAGGAAATTGACTTCCCAGAGGATTTGGTCCTCTGGACCCCTTGACAGTTAAAGTAACAATAAAGTAGTAAGTTGACATTCTGGTTTTAAACCGTTTTGTTTTGTTATGTTGTTTTAACATCTGTCTTCCTGAAGACAATAGCACTCCCCCAACAATCTGCTGGTGTAATCTTCCTAACCAGCTCTCATAGCGGAGGGCTGCGCTGTGGGCTTCAGTGAATGCACCCAAGTGACACTCCACAGCTGTCAGCAGGGAGCCTGGCGTCGTCATCTCGCTCTGCTCTTGTGTGTATGTTTGCTTGTGCCTGAGATGAATCTCACAGGGAGGCTGCCTGCTGTGGGCCCAAGGTGTGCAAGTACTTTACATGCACTTTCCCCATGTAATTCTTACAACAATCTTTTTTTCCCCTGTTAGCGTCTTCTTTTTTAATATATTTTTTAATTTATTAATTGTAATGAAAGTGTACAGAGATTAGGATTTCCAGTCATTCATTGTTGCACTCTCCCCCCCTGCCCACTCCCTTCCCCCTAAATCACTCTTCTCCTTGAAAAGCAAAAGAAAAACTCTTTCATTATTGTACAATCCCTTCTCCCAAGTCCACTCCACTATGCAGCCTTCACTCTGGACTTCTGTAATGACAAGAATATATCCCTTTTAAACAGATCTCTCCCTCATCTGTTTCAATGCAATATACATCATTCCTCCCCTCCTTTTCTGTCTTGCCTTAACCCTGATGTCAGTCCCATTTTACAACAGTGGCCCTATGCAATATTTGTCCTTTTGTGACTGAGATATTTCACTTAGCATAATGTCCTCCAGGGTCATCCATTTTGCATAATATTTCATGAGTTTCTTGTTTGTCAATGCTGCATAGTATTCCATTGTGTGAATATACCAGAGCTTCTCTATCCATTCGTTTGTTGATGGGAACTTGGGTTGTTTCCAGTTCTTTGCTATTGCGGACAAAGCTGCAATAAACATAGGTGTGCACAACAATCTTTTGAGATGATATCTGCTATTTTCTTCATTTTACAGACAAGGAAATGGAGAGACCAAAAGTTGAGAACATTTGTCCAAAATCTTACAGCTAGTTATTGTTACAGGAGTGAAAGCACTCTGAAATCATACTTTCAAGCATTTTGACATTGTGTTTCCTACTGGCCTAGTGATAAGGGGCTACACTGTCAACCCTTAGGCACATGGTTCAAATCTACCTACTGCTCTGTGGGAAAAAGATGGGCAATTTCCTCCTGTGCAGTTTACTGCCTCTAAAAACCTGCTGAAGGGCCAGCTATGGGTCAGCTCCAATTCGACGGTACATGACAACAATTCCATTAGTGCACTTGTTGCTGTAACTGAATTTGTACAGACAAATATCCCACAAAATGTACTGAATCATCGGTGTGTACTACTGTAGCATGTTTCCAGTCCTATGGTAGTCTACTAATATTCCACCATACCCACTAATATTACAACTATCATTACTTCTGCTATTATCACCACCACCACCGTTAGCATGAACCCCATCATTGCTGCTGCCGCTACAGTTAGTTACTGCGTTAAGCCTCAAACAAACACTGCCCTTGAGTTGGTTTCAACTCATAGTGCCCCCACATTGGGTTTCCAAGGCTGTAAATCATAATGGGAGGAGACTTCTCACCTTTCTCCCATGGAACTTTAGGGATTTGAAATACCAGATATGTGTAGCTTGGTGGTTAACCATGCAACTCATTACAGATTACGCCACCAGAGCGTCCTCCACCAGGACCCAAGATTGGGATTGGTTTTTCTTATCTGCTCTCTGTCTCTAAATCAGTTTCTGGCCTAATTTTGTGTATTTTACATTGTTTGGTCCATGACTAGTGATAACATTCATTCATTTAAGTTAAAATTTTCATCCTTACACAGTATTCACAGGCTCGTGGGAAGCTCTCCTTGCCAGAAGGCAGGAGCGTGGTGGTGGGGAGTGCAGGAATCGTGGCAAGCTTTGGAGTGGACTGCTTTTCTGGGAATGTGTTTGACATGCAGGTTTGCTCTGTCCCTGGAGTGAGGCTAGCCAGCCTGGGCCTAGGGTTTGAACCAGGAGGTGGCCTTAAGCCGAAGGAAGCCGGGAAGGAAGCGGCCATGTTGTTCCTGGTTTAGCTGGCGCCTTCACAGGTTCGTGGGAAGCTCTCCTTGCCAGAAGGCAGGAGCGTGGTGGTGGGGAGTGCAGGAATCGTGGCAAGCTTTGGAGTGGACTGCTTTTCTGGGAATGTGTTTGACATGCAGGTTTGCTCTGTCCCTGAAGTGAGGCTAGCCAGCCTGGGCCTAGGGTTTGAACCAGGAGGTGGCCTTAAGCCCAAAGGGCCTGAGGGCCACAGGCCCGAGGGCTAGGTTCAAATTGTCTTCCTGTCAAACATTCTTCTAGGTGGTATAGCACTGGTCTGTGCATTGCTGTACAGAGGTAACTGTGACAGTGATGTGCCAATCGTGGTAATGGGCACCCATGGTGGACAGTGTTGGCTGGAGCTTCCTGACTAAATCAAGCCTGGAAGCAGGAGCAGCATCCACTTCCAAAATGGCTTGCCTCTGGAAACTCTATGTACAAACAGTGCTCAGGCTGTTCGTTCATAGGGTCACTATGAGTCGTCTACGACTCGATGGCATTAAACAACAACAACAACACCACACAGTCTTTATGTCCCACTCTGTATTTGGGGCTGGTCTAAGTGGGTTAAATTTGACATTGGTGAGCTGTCAGCTATGACATCTTTCTTACATTTGTCTCCTGGTCATTGACCCCCACACTCATGAACAGAGTCTGTCTTATAGAGCTACTATTCTAAACACATATCTCAGTATTTTCATTACCTGGTAGATTTCTTTTGCATTTGCCCACTGAGGAATAAATGAATATATTTATGCCAGCCAAAAGATAGAACGTGGAAAAGGAGGAATTAGACTTTCACACTGCACAGAGATGTGCTCACCAGAGGGTGGCTCACTCAAATTAGACTTCCCAGGAAAACACTGGTGGCCTCAGAGAAACTCACCTCAATTTGAATGTGAGCATGACTTCTCCAGAGAATCATATCCTGAGTTCTCTCAGTCATGCTCCATCACAGTGGGAACCACCTTTCAAACACTGAGCCCAGCCTTTATAAGTATAAACCTGGCATATCAGTGCTAGATGCCACGTCCTCCAATGGCAGCTCGTCACGTCTTAGAGTCAAATCCAAATTCCCTACTTTGCTGACAAGCTTCCCCTGCCCCTGAGACTTCCATCACTGCCTTTCTCCCTTTCTGGGCCCCTGCTTGTTTTTGCAGGGAACTCTAGTGGCCTAAGGGCAAGAAGCTGCACTGCAATCCCAAAGGCACATGGTTCCAATCCACTGGCTGCTTCATGGGAGAAGGATGGGCAATCTCCTGATGTGCTGTTCAGTGCCTCTGCCACTAGAGGGTGAGCTGTGGGTCAGTCTGGACTCAATGGTACTCAACAACAGCAGCTTGTCCTCACACACACTGGCACCTGAGAATTCACTGTTCCAGCCAGCTCTCAAAAGCTTCCCCAGGTCCAGGTGTCTTTGTGATTATCTACTTCCTTCCTTGAGCTGTCTGTTCAACCCTCACCTCTTTGGAGAGACTTTCTGGAGGAAAGTGTTAGTAATGACCACTGCTAACATTGCTAACATTGACACTGAGAACATTGGCTTATCAGTTAATGTCTTCATTCATCATCTCTCTCAGAGCTCCACAAGTTCAGGAATCATCTCTTTGGGAACCCCAGTGTCTGAACAGGACTGAATATCCAGAAAATACTAGATGCATGTTGTTGTTGTTATGTGCCATTGAGTTGCCTGGGATGCATAACCATCCTATGTACAACAGCCCTAAACCCTGCTCCAATCTTTTTATCTCTGACACACCTTCTCCCATTACCCCAGTCACTGAATCAATCCATCTTATTGAGGGTCTTCCTCTCCTGCACTGTCCCTCCACTCTTCCAAGCATGATGTCCCTCTTCAAGGACTGGTCCCGCCTTGCAACATGTCCAAAGTATGTCAGATGAAACTTCAGAATCCTTGACTCCAAGGAGCAGCCTATAAAAATTCACAGTGACAAAACAACCTGTTGCCATGTGTCAGATGGTGGTGACCAGTGTAGAATTGTGTTCCATATGGTTTTAAATGGCTGTTTTTTGGACATAGATGACCAGGCCTTTCTTCTGAGGCACCTCTGGGTGAACACAAGCCTCCAACAGTAGCAGGAAAACATGTTTGCATCACCCAGGCACGCCATGATTCTGAGGGTAAGAGAAACTGTGCCATCAGCAGTAGATCTGCCAAAAAGTGACGGAGCTCTTTATAGGTGAGCCTGTGCTCTTTATTAAGAGCCCTTAACAAGCTCAGCCATAATGTAGTAAGAACCCTTTATTAAGTTCAGGTATAATTTAGTCCAAGCTCCTTTATGAGCAGATGAGCAAAGTGAAGCACATAAAAATGCAGTAAACCCCTCCAAAGATAGATAGCTGGCTGTTCTATGTTCCTAAACATAGTACCAAAGATGAGAGGATTCAATGAAAAATGAGCAAACACAGTGTCATTCTGTGAGTACTAACCTGGATGTAAGATGGTCAGGTAGGCTCCCAATTCACTGATATAATACGAATTTTCATCCTGTGAAAACAGCACTGTGTTAACCTTGGGCAATCTCTGTTTTATGGATACACTCTGGTATTAAAATTTCATTTAGGGAAGATTCTGGCTATTAAATTCCTGATTTTCAGGTGTTGATATCTTTCAGTAGTGAGTCATCATTATGATAAAAATTACCAAATAAAAAGGAAACATATCACACAGTAAGTAAATAATAAGTTAAAATTTGATCCTTGGTTCTAGAATTCTCAAAGGTCCTCAAGTTGGGAGAGCTTCAAACACACTTTGAGTCCCTTCAGTTGGGCCTGGTGTATCAATGTGAAAACCCAAGTACATCTGAGAGATAGATAGGTTGAGGGCTACACATTAAACTTTTACTAGTAATTAAAATCTTAGGGCAGTAATTCTTAACTTGGGGACAACTCATCTTGAAGGATGCCATGAGTGGTCTTCATGGAGTCCAGGAACACTCGAAGTGAGAAATGTTTGTTAAATTGTGTTGGTATTTTCTGAAGACTCTTCAAAGTTGATACAGAACTCCAGCATTCAGTGGAGGCCATGGGCATGGGCTCACTGGCCATGCATGTCCATTCTAGTGGGTCACCTCACAAGTTCCATCTCAATACTTAACCAGGGGACTGCTGACTCCATAGCTTCTCCTTGTTGGTTTCTAAAGACAACTCCACCTCTCTAAAGAGATTCTAGTTCCTAAGCCCCCTCTGTGAAAGCTAAGGGTATCACAGGGCCCCACTCTTGCACAAGGGATATGGAAAAGGCAAGCTTCAAGTCAGCTGGAGAGGTAGCCTGTCAACCACCAGCAGGCCCCAGGGACTTCCCTTCACTTCCACTAAGTATACAGTGTGAGTTTTACAGTTACAGATGTTCAGGATGTGGATGTGATGAAATCAAGAACCATTTGCTCTGACTTATTAAAAAGGAGGCGAAGACATTGCTTTTTTAGACTTGTTGACATACTTGTGGCAACTTGCCCTAAAGTTCTCTATTAAAGTTATATTTCTTTATTCTCAATTTGTTCACTAGTCATTGCTAACATGCACCTTATACAAAGTCAGGACTGGATACTAGAGAGAGAGAAATTTTTGTCCTCAAGGTTCTCAGGAAACAAAGAAGAGAGATTCATTTTATCCGAGAAGGAGTTGGGGCAGGAGTGTGAGGGAGGCAGGGAGACTGGCTGGAGGCTGGAGAAGACTTAACATAGTGATGATAATTGAGTTATATTATCTATTAACTTGTCACCACCAATTACATATTAACTTGTTGTACTGTAGTGGTGGCATAAATATTACTATGATGCTGAAAGATATGTCACCAGTATTTAAACACTTAAGGTACCTATGATGGACAGGTTTCAGCAGAACTTCCACACTAAGGTAGACAATACAATGTCCATCAATGAATGGGTGGTTAGAGACTAGAGAAACGACGGTACATTCACACAACAGAGTACTATGCAGCACTGAAAAACAATGAAGAGCTCATGAAAAACTAAACTAAAGGACATTATGATTAGTGAAATAAGTCAGTCAAAAGGAAAAACACTTTTTTTTTTTTTTATGCGTGTACCGTCAAATTGGATCTGACTGGTACAGGAGGCGACTGTTCCTCCTTCTTCAGCAGAGCATCTGGTGGATTTTAAAAACACTTTGTAAGGCCAGGGTAATTAAAAAAAAATTAAAACCCACCACACAACAGCAACTAGAGAAAAGTCTACATACAGAGAACATCAATCCAGTACAGTTATGAGGGGAGGAAGAGGAGGAGAGAATAAATGAACAGAAAATGAATAGCTCCTTGGAGCAGGTGAAGGGAAGGGCAATGTGGAACAAATGGATGATCAGACATTGTTGATGTCATAGTTAACAATGTAGAACTAAAATGCATAATTGATTATTTTTTTAAGATAAGGAAGGGTTTACACACAGAATCAATAGATAGAAAGGTAATGGAGATGAGAAGCGAGGGAGAGGAGAGCAAAGACTGAGAAATAGATAATTTGGGTGCAGGGGAAGACAATGTACAATATGGGAGGTTTATGAGACATTGTAATTCATTGCATTAGCCAATTGGAATTAGTGATGTATAATTTTTTTTAAGTAAAAAAATCCTTAAAAAAAAAAGATAGCCTAGGATGAAAGACCTACCAATCTATTTTCCCCAAACAATCAGTCATTGAAAATCCGATAGGTCACAGCAGAGTCGTACAGGCCTGTTTTAGTACTGGATGATTAAGTCCTCTTAGGTGGTTGTTGTGTACCATCAAGTTGGACCCTCCAGCAGGATTTTTAGAGGCAAGAAATCCTGCAGGAGGAGACTGTCTACACTTCTTCCGTGGAGCAGCTGGAGGGTTGTAGCACAGCTTCTTGCCAGAATTCCTTAAGGTTGAAGATGCTCAGAATACACAGTGGCTGCAACAATAGAATCAAGGACACTAAACATCGGAGCCTGGCCAAGTAGCTAGAAGCTGTACTGCAATCCCGAAGATACATGGTTCAAGGCCACCAGCTGCTCCATGGGAGAAGGATGGAAAATACATTCCTGTGCTATTAACTACTTCTAAAAACCTGCCAGAAGGTCATATATGCGTTGGTTCTAACTCTATGGTACACAACAACAATACCAAAATAATGAACAAATAGATCATGCTTTGTTTTCTTTCACATGGGATCATCGGGAGTCAGGACTGAATGCAAAAGAATAGGGAGGAAAGAGAGGGACTGTCTAGACAGAAGGCAAATCAGAAGCAAAACCAGGGCCAAGGGAGGTTGAAGAGTCCTAAGAAGTATGCTTTGAGGTTGTTAACATCTCAGCACGGACCATAATTCTCAGGAACACAGCATGAAGGCAATGATGAAACCTTGGCGATGGGCTGTGCTGGATCCCGAGACCTTCTCTGGCAGGTGTGCTGCCTAGCACTGATTTAATGCCTTTCCCCTCAATGGTTAATTACCTCCACATCCCAGAGCCTGAACTAGGGTAGGCCTCAGGTTACTTTCAACACGGAGAGGTAGGTGAGAAAGGGACAGTGTTGTCACAGAAAGAGAAACGCTATGTACAGAAATTCGAAAGTGTTTTAAAAACAAGTTGTGCAAAGCAGGAAGGAAGTTGGGGTGGGAGAGCAATGTTTATCTTGAACTCAAAGGGTCTGAACAATGTTCAGTATGTTAATTGAATCAAAGGAGACAACGATTACAGAAGGGGTTTCAATTCTTCAAAAATGAAACTGAGGTTTAAAACTGAGAAAGGAAACTTACCTCTCCAGACCCCACTGAGGGCCAGAACCCATGGTTAGCATGTCCACATGCGTTCACGTGGCTCACACACAGCAGCCCAGAAAAACAGGTGCTGTATGGCCCCATTTTATAGAAGAGAAACTGAGATTCGTAAAAGCTAAGAATGATACAATCACCAACAGAGTGAGATGGCTAGCTTATGTTTTAATTGAACAGTGAGGCCAAGCAATATTGGAGGAGGCAATTTTTCTGTGTTTTCTGCCTTTGGTGGTATTTCAGTATTAAAATGTACAAATCTTTGTATAAGATTTGTAACTTATCACTATAACCTCTTTCTATTCTTTCTCACCTATAATAACTAACCCGTGCTGGGACAAAGTAGGTGCTCAGTTAACCATACTGTATAGAAGGCGGTTGGTTGCATTTAAATGAGTCTAATTAGCTTCCATTTAGTATTCTACAACTTGGCTCCCACTTGTTATCTATATGTCATTATTTTTAACAAACAAAAATCCCTCAAATTCATTACCATCGAGTTGGTTCCAATTTACAGTATTTCATGATAAGTTGTGTTGGTTACTACGTGCTAACCACGTGAGTTTGTGTTAACTCTATATTCCAAAGTCTTAGAGTTTGTGTGAACTCCGTTTTCCAAAGTTCTCTCTTCCCCCCTAGAATTGTAGTTCTCAGCTAGAGAGAATTATTCCCATTTAGTAGTATCTGGAGACGTTTTGGTTAGCTGAGTGTGTGTGTGTGTGTGTGTGTGTGTGTGTACATGTGCACACACAGACATACACACACATACACTGACACACACAGTGCTTGCATCTAGTGGTTAGAGACCAGAGAGTCTGCAAACCACCCTCAAAGGCACAGTACATTTCACACAATCAACTGTCTTGCCAAAAGTGTCAGCAATCCCACTGTTAAGCAGTAAGTAACTACTCTATAAAGGGTAGCAATGTTTGAAAAGAGACCAAATTACTGTGGCCATTTTGCTTGGATGGATCTAGAAAACTTTCTTGCTCAAATCCATTCCCTATATTCCATTTATTAAAATAGAAGCTCAGCATTTGGGTCCAGAGACTAAATGTGCCCTACAACTGTGAAGGTTTTGATAGTCTTTTTATTGTTGTGTTTACAAAGTTCATATACAATATGTTTCACACTATTCTTCATTCACATTGTGTTTCATACCATCATTCACATGCAGTATGTTTTATAAAATTAATCGCCATTGACCCTTGCCTGTCATTACCCTGTCTTTTCTCCTGGACCCTTCCCATTTCCTTCCCCCGCCGTCAAACTGTGATACCCTGTCGTTTCACCCCTACCCACCCTCAGCCCTCCCCCTTTGAGTTCCCATACATGTTTTACTAGTTATCCTTCTATTTTTACAATACAATTGTGTTTTGTTTGACAACATGCTATTCAAACTAAAAAAAAAACATTTACATCTCACATGCATTTATTAATAGGTTATATTTCTTTCTTTAATAGTCAAGAGCTGGCAACGCTGGCATCCGATTACCGGTTGAGAGAGGTAAATACATGTGACATTTGACAGCTGGCACAGCAGGGCCCCTCCATTCCTATGAATGCCAGTCACAACACTGGGGACATTCACTGGCTGCTCCCTCTGATGGGCATAGACATTTCCCTGCAGTATCTACTCCCTTTCAACTCTTCACTTTTGAGACATCATCAGTTGACACTTATTTCTCACATTGACAATACTGTTTTTCCTACGCTAAGGTAATGTGACTATGAATTCCTTTTTGTCTTTGAGTCTTTATTGCTGTTGTTAGGTGCAGTTGAGTTAAGTACAACTCATAGGGATCCTCTGAACAGCTGACCTGAACCCTGACCTATCCTGTGCCATCTCCATCATCTCCGACACACAAGAGCCTATTGCTGCAGTCGCCATGTCAATCTATCTTGTTGAGGGTCTTCCTCTCTTTAGTTGACCCTCCACCTTTCCAAGCATGATTGATGTCCTTTCCAAGGAATAGCTTCGCCTAGCTACATGTACAAGGTATGAGAGACGAAGCTTCACCATCTTTGCCTCCCAGGAGAGCTCTGGGGGCACTTTCCCAAGATGCATCTCTTCTCTTGCACTCCCTACCCCCTGGTGACTCTTCACTTTTGGGACTTTATCAGTTGTCACTTATTTCTCACACCCACCCTCCTCTTATTCTTATGTAGATTTAACGAAAATATGAAGTCCCTTTCCTCTTCATTATTCATGGGCAAATATTTGCATTTCATTAAGTCCCATTTTGCTATGGAAAATCCCATGGGAGGACTTGGGCTGGCAGGTATGTGGGGCATTTCACTCTGTCTTAGTTCAAAAAATGAACTCAAACTCATTGCTCTTGAGGCAGAATCTGCTCACAGCTGACTCTCCGGTGGGTTTCTAAGGCTGTAAATGGTGCATAAGGAGATGGTTCATCTTTCTCCTGTAGAGTTGCTGGTGGATTTGAATCACGAAATAGTGCTGTCTTTGAGTTAGCAACGCACTCCCTATGGATGAGACCAACAGAACTCCAAACTGTGTATCAGGGTCACTATACATCAGAACTGACTCAACACTAAGGGCACTAAGCCTCTCTGCTTCCCTCTTGTCTTGCAACTAAGACCAGCTGCATGGGTGGATGGGTCCTGGGGAGTGGCATGAACGAGGTGAATTTTGTTGGTGAGACTTGGGTAAAGCTGCTTTCACAACTCTCAGAGACTTGCTTGCTCCCTACTGCAGATGGCATGGAAGAGGGAAAGGCAGAGATGTAGTGCTTACAGCATCATATAGATATTAAATTTCTTCTCACATCTCTGAAGGACATAAGCAGGACAATCGGGGAGCATGGGTTCAAGAAAGGATTCACACAATCAACTGTCTTGCCTAAAGTGTCAACAATCCCACTATTAAGTTATTACTAAAGGGTAGTGAAAAGTGACTGAATTACTGTGGCCATTTTGCTTGGATGGATCTAGAAAGCTTTTTTGCTCAAATGCATTCCCCATCGTTGATACTAGAGTGGTGCTTGGTCAGAGTTCAGCATGAATACAGTGGACAGGCAGGGAGGGACCTCAGGAGATGGAAGGACCATAAAGAGAGGTCGGCAGGTGCTCAAGCTCTGGTGGTCCGGTGGGTAGGGGTTTACACTGTCACCCAAAGGAGGGTGGTTCAAATCTACCAGCTGCTCCTCTGGAGAATGAGATGTAAAGTTTCTGAAGATCCACTGCAGAATCAGTGGTGAATCAGTTCCCACCCCAAGGTAATAGCTTTGACTTTTGACTTTGACTTACAGCAAATAGAGCAACCCTGGCTCTCCCTTAAGAGTAGGTCAGCCAACACTGTCTCCCTGGACGTTTGCCCATTTCAGCTCCTGCAGTCATAAATAACCCCAAAATAAAACCCACCACTACTAAGGCAGTTCTGACTCATGCTGACACTCCACCAGGTTTTCGAGGCCAAGAAGCTCAGGTGGCACAGTCCAAGAGAGTTGTGCTGCTGATCCCAAAGCTGTAACTCTGGCAGTTCAAACCCACCAGCGGGTCCCCAGGAGAAAGAGAAGCAATCTACTCTCATGGGATTTAGAGCCTTGGAAACCCAACAGAGGATCAACTATGAGTTGATTCTGATCCCATGTCAATAACTGAGGGACTGAGTTTTCCTGCACTGGATGTGCCCTTTACAGACATGATCTCCAATTCCTTTCGGGGAAAGTAAACGATGGAGTCAAATCTGCAGCTAAATTTCTGTCATCACCTGTGCCCTTCTTTTTTCCATTTTACTTCTTTGTCTACTCCCTTCCAGGATGTGGTCAGGAAAATCCAATGACTGGTAAGTTCCTGGATTTGGGCTGAAGTGCTTGGAAAGAACCCGCTCTGACATTTGACTTTAAGAATAATCCAATCTCCACTGGGAATTTCTTTGGTTCTTATTTCTCTGTATAACTTCCTCTTTTCTGTAGTTTGCAAAGCATACCAATGTTTGGGTTCCCCAGAGGCCAAGTCTCCCCTAAGAGGCTGAAGGGGGAAGAAAGCAAACACAGAATTTTGAAATTTCCCTCCTCTCCACCTCAAAGCCCCTCTTTCTTATCAGTGAAGATCTCAAAAGTCTTTGAGATTTCTTTCCGCTGGGACTTAAACTAAAGTGTGAGATTGCACCATCAGCGGGGAAAGCCATCCTCTGGCCAGTTAGTGCCAGCAGCTCACACCTCACCTTGGTGAATGTGAAGTTCACAAATCCACCCTGGAAGTTCAAGAGGAGGTTGGATTTTCGGGGTCCACAGTTTCCGGAAGCTTCAGTCCCATTGGGGTTGATGTTGAAGTATCTCTGGGGTGAAAAAACCTAAAGCAAAAGAGATAGATCAGCTTAACAAGATGCACATGAACATTCCAGAGAATGTGAAACACAGACACATAAGTGAATCTAAGCTCAAGGCTGGGTGGGCACTCACTTGATAATTGCCAACACCCCAGGGGATGTCTCCTATCTCCAAGCTGTAAATTCCAGATTGTTTAAAGGAGTCCTCTCACAGAAAGCTGTTTCTCTTGGCAGGTAACTTGAAGCATGTGTATTCGTGGTATTCATGATAGGTCTCCGGGTGGTGGAAACGGTTTGTGCTCAACTTTTAACTAAAAGGGAGCTCTGGTGGTCCAGCGGCTAAGGAGTTAAGCTGCTAACCCAGGGACTCTGGCTTGAACTAGAGAGACCATCTAATCCAAACCCCTAATCCCACAGGGAAACAGCTAGACTTGCGAGTCATCCAGAGGGGTAGGATTGGACTGGGATCAACACTGAACACACGACCCTGATTGACTAACTAGTGAGAAATGGGTATATGAACATTTGGGTGTTTTTCGTCTCTCTCTCCAAATGCTCCCTTTCTCTGTTTTTAGATGGATGCATTCTAACACAGCTTCACATTTTAATGCAAAGTCTTGGGGAAAGTGGAGCAAGCAGCTACTTATTTCCTTTAAAAGCACACAATGTCAGGGCTGCTCATTCTCAACAGAGCAAACTTCACTCACACTCCACGAAATTAGTGCCACAGTCCAATGGGGTCAACTTACCGACTCCTTGTCTTGTACAATCAGCTCTAGGCCCAGTTCTGCTTTTATACACAGTCTGCTGCCATTGAGAACTTGGTAAACTCCGATCTTGACTGGCAATGGCTGTGGTGCAAGGGTGGGTCCAGGTGCTGTAGGGGCTGGTGGTGCTGTCTGTGTGGTGTGAGTGGCATTATGTGTGGCTGTGGTTGTTCCTGGGACACGGGTGGATTGAGTGGGTGTCTGACTGGTTGTGCTGTTGCTCGGAGCAGGGGATGAAGTTGTTGGGAAGGTGGTCTGGTTGCTAGATGGAGTGGCTTCCCCAGTTGTGTGGGCTGGTGGGGTCATGGTGGGTGGCTGTGTGTGAGGAGCTGCACTGGGGCCGAGTGTAGCTTCAGTAACGGGAGGGTTGGACTGTGTAACGTTGGGTGTGGCCTGGGTTGTGATGAGAGTGTGAAGAATTGTGCTGGTAGATACGGAAGCAGTCGTCATTGCTTTTATTGTCACATTGGCAGTTGTGGCAGTGTGACTAGCAGTTGAATTTGTTATTAACGTTTTGAGAGGCACTTGGGTGGTTGGCTGAAGGAGAGGTCTTGCCTGTGCAGTTGCTGGTGGAGTGGTTTGAAAATCATCGTTGGTTTTAGGATATTCTTCTCCTGTATGACTGTTGTAATAACAGATTGCTACAAATTTGGAAACAGAAGATTTAGAAACTGCTTGAAAGCCTTCATAGTTTAAATATTTGTTAGAAAATCTAACATATATATATGAAATTACAATAAAATAAAAATGAGGTAAAGCTCACCAAAACCTTCATTAAGCCTTCTTGTTGTTGTGTTATTGTCAGAACTGGCCCATAGCTGACCCTCCAGCAGGTTTTCAGAGGCGGTTAATTGCACAGGAAGAGACTGCCCTTCCTTCTTCTTGGAGCAGCTGGGGGATTTGAACTATGTGCCTTTGTGACTGCAGTGCAGTTTTCTTAAGCATTAGGCTACCAGAGCTCATTAAGCCTTAACTTCTAAAATTTTCTTTCATATGTTTTCTAAAATGTTTGTAGTTTTATGCTTTACATCTAAGTGTGATCTATTTGAATTAATTATTATCCAAGGTGTGACGTTTAGGTTGAGGTTCAGAGCTAAAAAAGCTTTGCCTGAGCAGAGTAGAGCACAGCGTGAGGGGCTAGGGAGAGAGAGGTTGGGCTACGGGAATGGCCAAGTAGCTGTCCTGATGGGGGGAAAAGCTATCTATCCTTCATTGTTCCTGATCCTGAAGTGCAGCTTGAGTTATGGTCCCAAAGGGGAAAGAGTTTCATTGCCAATTCAAAGGCAGGCAGTTCAAATCTACTAGCCGCTACACAACAGAAAGATAGGCAGTCTCCTCCCCTGTGATCTGCAGCCTATGAAAATCAGCTGGCAGCAATGAGATGGTTCCTACTTGATGGTACACAGACAACAGCAGTCAGTAATGTGCCATACTGGTAACCAAAAAGTTGATAGTTCAAATCCACCAACTGATCTGCAGGACGAAGGTGGACAGTCTCCTCCCATGACAATTTACAGCCTCAGAGACTCAGTGGGGGATTGTGATAAGTCGGAATTGATTATGATGTGATTGTTATAAGTGGGCTATAGAGAAACAGAATTTTCTCTCAGATGTGATATTCAGGAATATCTTAAGAGAAGCAAAGATTGCGTCTGGGAACTCTGACAGACTGAAGCTGGTCCCCTTTTGTTCTCTTACAGAGATCAATCTTCCTAAGAACAATTTAGAGACTAAGATGCACCTGATATTTTCAATTGCTTCACACATATCTGAAAGTTGGACAGTGAATAAAGAGGACAGAAGAAGAATAGATGCCTTTGAACTGTGATGTTGGAGAAGAGTACTGGATATCCTAGGAGTGTGAGAAGAACAACACACACATCTGGGAGGAAGTGCAAACAAGGAACTCCCAAGAGACAAAGCTGGTGAAACTCTATCTCCCACACTTTGGGCAAGTGGCCAGGAAGGGACAGTCCTTGGAAAAAGATACCATGCTGGGAAAGGTGGAGGGTCAGAGAAAGTGAGGGAGACTCAACAAGATAGAGTGACACAGTGACTGAAACGGTGAGCTCTATCCAGGATGGCGAGCATGGGGAAGCAGAGAGCAAGGATCAGATCTGCCGTTCAGGGTCTCTGTGAGAGGAAGTCAACTTGACAGCACCTAACGATGTCAACAAATGAGCTAAAGCAAATCTTCTCAACTGAGTAGACTGCCCAATGGCGTACACCCTCTAAAATGGAAGTTTTCCTTAAGATGCAATTAGAACTCTTCTCTTGGTAGTGATGAATGAACGTAAATAAGGGGGGGAACCTCACTTCAGCAATTCATTAATGTAAGACTTCCAAGTAGACCAAAAAGATTCCTGCCCCAGCCATGATGTGTGTGGTGCATAGGGAGCTTTGGTGTGATGGCTGAAGATGATAGCAGTCAGCAGACCTCGCTGTGGTGGGTGGCTGGCTCTTCAGGAAGAGGAATGTGGGTTACCAGGTGGCTAGACTAAAAATGCTAGGGGCGGATTCTAATGAAAAATCTCACAAAGTCCACTATTGTGTTACAAATAGAACCCATCCAGGTAGTATTACTCAAGCATTCCCACTCCCCTTCTCTGATCTATCTGCTTTCCTTCTCTCCACATCTCCCTTTTTAGATGTGGGGTATAAATGATGGACATGTGATTACATAGGAAACTGACAACAGGTATGCTGTGCTTATAATAGGTCTCAGCTAGTTCATATATTTGTTGTTGCTGTTTTCAGTCCAACTCATAGCTGACCCTCTAGGATTTCAGAGGCTATAAGTCGTTTGAGAAAAGATTGCTCATCTTTCTCCTTAAGAGCAGCTGGTGGATTTGAACTACTTGCCTTTGAGTTGGCAGCACAACAACTTACCACTAAGCCATCAGGTAGCTGGGAAATAATAACACACTGGTTTATAAAATCCATGCATGTGACCACATATCAATAAATAATCTTTGTCAAAATCGAGTCACAACTTTTTTTTAAGGGCTTTTGGCCCCAAAGAATTTTTGTCAAGGTCACATGTGTATCTAAAACCCACAAAGAAGGAAGTGGTCAGAAGCAGTAGTAGGGCTAGCTCAAAATCTAAGCTCTTGTGAGGACAGCTAGAAATCTCACAGTATCTTTCTTAACGATTTTGTTTCTTGGCTCAAACCCTGACTGATATATGAGCATAACAATTCAAACCCAAGGCAATACATGATAAAAACCTTTTGCTGAGCCTCCTTCTCATCTCTGAGCCCATACACTCAGTCTTCTCTCTAGAATTTAGGAGACTCTGTAAGCAAGTGGTCCAGGGCCTTGCTCAGCTGCTCAGCCTCCTCTAGACATGTCCTTTGCAGCAAAAGGTGTGAGAAGTCCATAGAAAGAGCTGACAGATGACTTAGTGGGCCAATCTCTGGGAAGGTCACCCATCATCCAGGACATCACGCAGGACAGTCCCTCCTTCTTATGCATTTCTGACAGCCAATCTCTTTCCAGGAAGCTTTTGGTTGGCTTCCTCAACTCAATAAGCAAGTAGTTACTCTTCCTTGTGGAGGCTAGAGAAGCTGGCGTAGGGGGCAGAAATTCAATGCAAGGAAAAATGCTTTAGGCAGATAAGATAATAAATAGTATTCCAGACAGTAAACATATTTAAGACAGCAAGTGTTGGTGCAAAGGCACAGAGCTTTGGGAGCTTGGTTTAGCAAGGGCTTCAGCTCAATTATTGCCTTACAGATGCGACCTCATTTTGTCTTCCTAACACCTCTGGAAGAGGATAAGATTCTCCTCTCTCCATTTTTCAGTGAAGAAATTGAAGAAGTCAGGGGATGTGAGTAAGGTCATCCTGCTGTTAAGGATCAGAACAGGGACTGAAATCCAGTTACGTCCGAACCAGAAAGGCCAAGAAATGTCAATTATCCAGTCAGGCCAGGTACGACTTTTGAGCAAGCACTTGCTTCAGTGAGAGAACTCCTGAGATTTAGCTATCAGTCAGGAAAGGGCAAGCTGCAATTTCCTCTCAATTTTCTGTCATTTGTGGGCACTCATTGTATTCCTGGTGATTGACTCTGTCACCATCAGCTACCAGTCAACTCACCCCTTTTAGGTGATTCTGAGTCACAGCAACTCTCCATCAGGTTTCTGACACTGCAGATCTTTTTGGGAGGAGACACTTTCACCCTTGGAGCAGCTGGTGGATTAAAACCCCTGAGTCTTTGATTGTTGTATTGTTGTGTGTCATTGAGTCAGAAATGACCCATAGCTGACCCTCTGGGAGGTTTTCCAAGGCAGTAAATCACATGGGAGTAGTCTGCTCATCTTCCTCCCACAGAGCAGATGGTGGATTAAAAAACTGTGTGCCTTTGGAATTACAGCACAGCTTCTTACTAGTAGGATATATATAAATGCAAATCTGTATTACGGCAACTCTGATAGCCTTGGGATATAGAGCTGTGCTTCACTGCGAAGCCAAAGGCATGCAGTTTGAACCCACCAGCTATTAGAGGGGAAAAGATGGGTAATCTCCTCCTGTGCGATTTACTGCCTCTGAAAACCCACTGGATGGTCAGCTATGAGTCAGTTCCAACTGGATGGCACATAACAACTTCTACCTGTAGGGACATGAGTTTCTAACCCAGAATCGGCTCCTCTCTGGTGGTTCAAATCTCCTCCCTTATGATTTATAGCCTCCTGGAAACTGCTGGATCACCTATGAGTCAATTCCAACATAATTACAATGAGATGAGATGATGATATGTTTTAAAGCAGCTTGCACTCCTAAATGTGATGATGACTACCATCCCTACCCCCCAGATTATAATTCACAAAGTGTGGCACAAGGGAAGAGCCGAGATTAGGGCAGCTGATCAGACCCTTTACAAAAGGATCCTAAAAAGGCATGCCAAAGCCAAGTGCTCCTGGCCTCTCTCCTCAGCCCCAATTTGAATAACTTAGCTGAGGAGTTTGGAGGAAGCTGGTTCCCACATATTCCAGTGCTTCTAGAAACAAATCGAAGGACAAATCCAGTCACAGGAACAGTGCACCAGAGGATTCCATGAGCCCTTCCTGGGAGAACATGCTCTTCATAAAAGCAGTGGGTTTCCATACTAAATAACCACAATAAACCCAATCTCCCAAGTATCCTCTTTGAAGTGCCATAATGATGTCTTTCTCCTTCACTCCCTGGCTTACACTTTTCTGAAAGAGCACAGTTTGCCAGACCACAGCTTAAGCATCTTTACAGTTGACTACAGGCAATACAAACATAGCACTCTATTGAGGAAAACAGGAAAAGAAAAATGTGGTGTGCCTTTTCCAGACAATTTTACAATGGCCCCTATTTGCAGGCCCTGGCTGCAAATTTCAGTTTCTTAAATATAAGTGATTTCTAGAAACTCTTTCTAATAAGGTGCTATCTAGGAACCAGGCATGGTGTCACTGACTTCTGAAGT